TCCCCAATTTTTTTTTGTTTGAAATTACCTACGTACATTTATAAAAAAAAAAAATATATTTGTGAAAAACACCTTGTGTTCCATCGTTCCATATGTTCGATTTGTTTCAATAAGAATAATGAAAGAAACAAACAAACGAAAAATAGTCTACAGGTATCCGGGATATGAAAATGTCCCGTTTTAGCCATGTGTGTTTCCTTTCTCTCTGTCTCTGTATTAATGAAAACATTCACTGTCTTTCAATAAAAATAATAATAATAATAAGACTGAATTGGGCACGTGCTGATTTTTACCTTATATACCTTTATATAAATGCTTTATTCATGATTTGAAAACAAAACAGAAAAAAAATCGACAGACATTTTGCACGCGTTCATATTATTTTCATTTATTCAACTTTATCGATTTATATATTTTTTTCTGCTCTATTCGATTGGATCACATGCGAACTTGGCCAGGTGAACGGTGCCAAAAAACCAGGGCAGGTTTTTTTCCCAATGTAAGTATATGACTTGTCAAGAGAAAGAGAGAAAAAAAGCGTGCAACATATTTGCGGCCGTTGATCCTAATACATTCATTGATTTATTCGAAAAAAAATAATCATAATGTTCATATATAAATGATGAAAGTGAAAATTCCAACAATATCACCAGGTGTGATTGGTCCAAATTAATTTGAATTCAGAGTTCAATGAGAAAAAACCATATATAAACTATATAACTGATGTTGTTAATTTATGCATGCAACAAAAAGAAAAAAAAAAAGATGATCCATGATGATGATAATATAATGATGTCCATATGGTGATTGGATGTGAAAATTGTCTGAAAATGTTCATTGGCAAATTGTTCCAAATAATGATTGTGTGTGTGAAATATTATATCCATATAACTTTATGATAGGGTGTGGGAATTGTCCTTGCCTGGATTGTGTTTGGAATTTAATGGGATTCTTGTTTTTTTTATTCTTTCGTATGTGAAACATAATGACCAGCACCAGCAGTGTGTTTATGATTGTGTGTGTGTGTGTGTGTGTGTGTGTGAAAATTTATAGATGAAACATTGAATTAGTTCCAGTGTGTGTGTGTGTGTGTGTGAAACCATTAATTCAACAGGCGCATACAAATCGACCTGAATTGAATTGAACAAGAGCAATGCGTCGTATTGAATCATTAACATTTTTATTCAAACCATTTGGATCATTTTTTTGGATTACCAGCACACACCAGTTCCCAGATTCCTAGTTTTAATTTTTGATTGTTATTTGGATTGGTGGGAAAAAATTTTGGACCGTGTGAATCATGTGTGTGATGTTAAACATATTCAATTGGTTGACTAAATCGAGAACAGAGAGAAAACCGTTATAAACCGTTAGGAATGATGATCACACACACACACACACGCATATACCAATGAAAGGAACTTTCATCATAATGTTGCGTGTGAATTAAATATGAGATTCGTGTGCTACACCGACCAACGGCAAATATATGGCCATTCAACCAGATCAAACAAATCGTATACATTCATCGGCTGGTTAAGTTTGGTTCAATGTCGGTTAGATTTTTTCTTTTCTTTTTGTTTTGGTTATACTATGTTCGTTTGAAGGTGCATTACTTGACATTTGTCTGATAAAGTTCTTTGTTTTTGTTAGCAGAATCAGCAAAAATGAATTTAGAAATGAAAATAGTATCATCATAATAGGCCGACAGACTGAAATTAGAAACTTTCAACCGGATACATATGGAACAAGTGACCATTCAAGTCAAAAGTCAACCGATAAAACAAGAACCAGAAATAAATGGACTAATGTTATTGCCACTGGATAATGTAAGAAGCAAAAAAAGTTCAGAAAAAAACCCTTAAATTTCCATTACACACATTAGACATTTTAGCTATATATCTATGTGTGCCTGTATATCGTCGTCTGTATCAGTCCGGTCACATATTGGGTCGTCCATTTCCTTACGATTTCGTTCATTTCATTTCAGGTCAAACAATGACCCTAAGGGTCACACATATTGCACGTGTCAAAGGCAGATGTTTTTAGAAGAAGGAAAGAAGAGGAAAAAAAATGGACGCGTGCCTCGGTCACGATCTGAAATGAAACATGGACGGATGGATATGAAAAGTTTGAAAAAAGACCATACGCGCGATACCATGGTCATAGTCATGATCCAATGATGTCATCCAATCCGTTGTTTTTTCTATTTTTTTTTTGTTTGTCTGACAGTCTGATTTGAAAGATATGGTCAGTGTAAGTGATTTAGATTTTAAATGTTGAATATGATATATTTAGTAGTTTCTATAAATGAGTTTCACATTTATCGAAAATCGCTATGGGTGGAAAAAAAATTGTAACCGACATTTTGGCTAAATTCATGTCTGATCATTGATGATGATGATGATGATGATGGACAATTATGTTTGCTTGCAAAAATGAAAGCGAAATCTAGAGTTCCATTAGTTAGTATGACTTTATTGATCCAGATTGTATGGATATAGCGAAGAAAATTTTTCGTTATTATTATTATTGTTGTTGTTGTTGTTTGGTTTTTTCAAAACTGGTATGACCTCTCTCTTTCTCTCTCTCTCATTTTCTTTTTGCTTTATGCTCAGATATAACCGAATCGAGAACCTGCTGCTATTGACGGCTGATGGCGGTTGTCGTGTACCAAACCAAATGGTGAAAGGTGAACACAACAACAAACCAATAACAACAACCAAAAAAAAAAGAAAAATTTAACGCGTGCACACATGATGATGATAATGGATATACTAATAAGAACTCAAAACTGCAAATGCTGTTGGCCATCATCATCAACAGTCGCGTGCCATCAATAGAAAACAAACGTTGTCGGTCATATGTATTATATTCATAAGAGCGAACACGGGCCATAAGCGAGTGTTTGTTAGGTTATTCACTAAATATAATATTCAAAATGGTTCAAAATTTGGACCGCACCTGCCTGCTGTTGCTGTTGCATATTTCATTTCTTCCTCGTTATTATTATTATTATTATATTTACCGTGGAGTTTTTTTTATAATGTGTAATTGTTGCACCCAAAAATTTTTAGTGTCCGTTTTCTTTTCTTTCATCATGATTTGCCTCTATGGTGTTTGAATAGTATGGACGTTCATTAGGTTCCAAAATGCTTATCCACATCCAATCATATCCTATTCTCTGCGTGTTTATGTGTGTGTGTGTGTGTGTCTATGGATTTTTTTGCTAAACAAACCAGAAGGACCTAGCCTTAGTTTAATCAACAACATACACATGCACATCAAATCCAAAGAATAAACCATAAAGGTTAGCGACACGAGCCATTTCATTGGGAATAATGATGATCCAGAAAACAAGCAAGCTGCTGCACTCGTCATCTTTTGATTATTATGAATGATTTCCCCCCTCTCATTTCCTCAAATCGAATTCGCTTCATTCATGATATATTGATCATATAAAATCGAAAAGGTAACCAATTCATATTATTATATATTAAAGCTTTTTCCGTTTAATCGCCTGTCGGTCAGCGATAAGGTTTGGTTAGGTCAAAATCATCATCAAACAGATTTTGCTTTTTTTGATTGCTTCGTTAGTCCTGATTATTTGGTTTAGCCGATAATTTTTCCCCTCTCTTTTTTGTCTGATCACATCGATTGATCGAGATGTTGACGCAGTCGGTAAATATTCAACAAAAAAAAAAATCTTCAGACATACAGCAAATGTTTCAGGATCAAATGTAATCGGCCGCCAAATGTGTGTTTGATGTGTTCTTAATTGACGGCATATGCCTTGAAAAAAAAGATACGAAATATTCATGGTTCATTATCATGAACCGAAAATTGGTGATTCTTCACCAAAGAAAAAAAAACACTCATGAATGTGTGATTTTCTCAAAATCATTACCATCATCATTATCATCACCATGATTGAACGCTTGATCAAACAGGTTTATGTCTAGGGGTGTCTGGTTGACTGGATGGATAGTTTGTAAAACCGTACCAAAGAAAAACTATGGTCTTTGGCCATGATGATGCTGATGATCACCTCAATGACTATCAAATTATCATGTTACCATAGTAGCAGCAACATGTTAGTAGGTGGTTATCTTATTTTTATTAATTTTTTTTTTACTTCAATAATTCAAGACATATGGACAAAATACGCTTGCTACATGCAAATATACCGTTGGTTATGATGATGATGATGATGAACCGTTCATGGAACATATGGAAAGTTTAAAGTTAATTTTGATGATGATAATAATGATTATAAAATAATAGTGATTCTATCTAGGTATGATCATTGGGCTGGAAAAACTGTTTGACTAACTGTGAATATAAGACATTGACAAGCTGCTCATCATCATAATCATCAACGACAATGAACAACAATCAAATTAACACGTGTATTCATTTTTTTTATTGTTGGATCAATCCAATTGGTATTCGATTGATTCAAGCTTGATAGTGTTTAGCTTACAATTTAAAAAATGCCAATGTCATCATCATTTTAGGTTCGAATTTCGATGACACGCGAATGGTTTTTGATGATGATGATTATCATCATCATCATCATCATCATTAGATACTACCAATCCATAATTGATGGTACACTGGTCATCATTTTTTTTCTTCTTTCTCTTTAGTCATTAATTACCTATGTTATCTGTCATTACATTATATAGCAATGAATTTTTTTTTCAGTCGTACACCTGCTTTAGCAACTAAAAAAAAAAATTTCAAGAATATAGAAAAAAAACTTCAACCACGATTTTTTTTTTTTTGTCATTTCATTATTTGAAAATCAAATGAAAAAAACTCGTAAAAAAACACATTTCTTTTTGAATGCGCAACAGTTTGTAAATTTCGTTCTTGTAATGACATCTAGTGGTGGAAAAATATTTTATTCAAAAAAAAAAAAATGGCCAAATTGATTTATTTTTATTCAAATTCAAAAGATTAAAGGCTAAATTTTTTGTTAATTTTTTCAATTTTTGCAATGATAATTGTTGTTGATTGATTGATGTGAATAAAGTACAAAGAATAAAATGTTTATTGCTGATCTTGCACATAATTAAATGGTCGTTAGCAATGATAGAATCTTGTTCATTTTCAGAATTAAAATCACAATTACAAAATACAATTATTTCATCTAGATAATTTTGTACTATTGTAGGATTATATATAGAATGAATTCGATGTTTAGTGTTGAATATGATGAATGCTGAAATTGCTTTATCATTATCGCCATTCAATAACGATGATGAATTGAGAATAGATGATGGTTCTGTTGAGTCATTGATGGCCGGAATTTCTGATGTTAGATAATTAAGGTTAGAATTTTTGGAACTAATTAAACAAACACGTAGATGTTTTGCCAATGGAATGATTGTCAAATTTTGTGGAATAACATTATTTTCATAGGGGAGAAAAATGGTAATTTTTTCCATTCCTTTTTCTAATACCGTATCGGTAAAAGAGTTAATCAGATAACAGATTAAACAAGAATAAGTATGATGATCGGAAACTAGTGTTGACCACCATTCTTTACTAGCAAATGTTAATTTTTCTTGAACAAATAGAGCCCAATATTGTATCGATTCTAGTCGATTAAGAAAAGACAAAAATGAATTGATCGATTTTGATCGATCAATCGGTTCATAATTAACTGAATGAGCTATCACATTGATTCTATCAACATTGGTTGATACAAAGAGATTTACTAAGCAATCTAATAGATGATGAGCAAATTTGAGATCACGTTTTTGTTTGTCAAAATCTTCGATAAAAAATACATCAGGTCCACATGTCATCTGAATAGCATTTATAATTAGGACTAGAAAACGGTCAAGATGTTTTTCGCGTAGTAAATATTCTTCCTGACAAAGAATAATCAGCAATACTTTGCCCTTTGAATGCCATTTGATTTTAATTCGATTACCTTTAGACTCAGCATATTTCAAAAGGCAATCATTTAGTCGTGAAAATTGATTCAAACCATAGAAAACTGTAGATGAATTTAATTGGAAATCACTATTGATGGTTTCATTGTTGAAATCAGATCGTCGGATAAACAAAGGCAAACCAATATCGATGCTGAAGGCCATCAATTGTAAGGAAAACATCATGAAAAATTTTTTGACATGAGAATTAATCCCGAACGAATTCCAAATATGTTTTACAGAATCGATAGTCTATCGATAGTTTCGCTCATCATTTCTGATTGTTATTGGCTGTCACATTGCATAATTTTTTTTATATAAAAAGGAGTGCATTTTAAGGTCACAAATGTACTTGATTTGCTACGTTCATTGAAGAAGGAAAGAAATGTAAAACAACGCGAGCCAAATTATTTTTTCCACATTTTTGACATCACAATCCTGGTAGATTAGATAAAAAAAAATCTTATTTCGATCTTATGCAACCATTCAATGCGTGATCATCAAAAGATAAAACACGATTGCACTCGCTGATTCCCTATTATTTTAATTTGTTCATCACCTTCTCATCACATCATTTAGTATTTTCACAATATAATATTCATCTCTTGTAAATTTAAAAGGTTCGAAAAATTATTTTTTTTACGGAATTTATATTCATTTATTATTATTTGTTGAAATTAAAATCTAGAGCACAAAATGCGTATCTGGACTAGTGAACATATTTTTGAGTAAGTTAAATTTTTGTTTTGTTTTTTACCGGTTTTTTTGATCTTTACGTTGATTACAGACATCAATGGGATACGGTCGTACAGGCAGTATGGAGAAAATATCCTAATCCTTTAAATCCTTCAGTGATTGGAATTGATATTCTTGATCGATCAGTTTGTCCACAAACATCTGTGATGCATACACATCGATTAATAAGCTGTAAATGGGGCCTTCCAGGTTGGGCTGAAAAATTACTTGGTCGTAGTAAAACATATGCCAGTGAATATTCTGAGCTTGATCCACGGGCAAAAAATTTTACATTAAAATCAAAAAATGTAAGTTTATTCATTTCTCATATATTGAATATTTTATTGACATTCTTTTTACCATAATAAAGATTTCATTTTGTAACGAACTGTCCATTATTGAACAACTAACGTACAAACCTCATCCGTCCAACCCGAACAAAACGTTAATGACTCAAGAAACTGTAGTCGAAGTTCATGGTATTCCTTTAAGTAGCTATCTAGAAGATTTTGTTCATAAAGATATAATGAGAAATGCCGCCAAAGTATGATTTATTATTAGATGAAAATATTGATTTTTTTTAATAATGAAATTTTTCCTTTTTTTACTAGGGCCGACAAGCCATGGAATTGGTTATTGGAAAAATCAACGAAGAAGTTCAAGATTTAGCGCACAAAACTGTAAAAAGTGTTGATGAACTAGCAGGCAATACAAAACGAGTGATCGCCGATGATATTGTCAATCGAACCCAAACAAATTCTCTATCTTCATAAAATCATAATGGCTATTTATATATTATTATTATATAATAATAATAATTGTCGTTCTTCTAAAGACAATTCATTGTGTGCAAATTTTTTACGCACATAAAGAAATGTGTATTTATTTATCGAGCACAAAAAAAATATAAAACAAATTAGGAATTATCCAATTTTTTAAATTAATGAGTAATGAATAATGATATATTTTTTTAACAAATTAAAATAAAAAAAATACAACTATTCAAGTGTAGTCTGTACATTTACTTTTTCTGTTTTTGTATCAATTATTCGAATGTCTTGAACGGGACGATCATTGGAATCGGTTGGTAGACTACCGATTCGAAAAATAAAATCCATTCCATCAAGAACTTTGCCAAACACGGTATGATGTCCATCCAACCATGGTGTTGGTACTAATGTGATGAAAAATTGACAACCATTTGTGTTTTTTCCTGCATTGGCCATACTGATCAGGCCAGGTTGGCCATGATTGAGAACGAAATTTTCATCATCAAAATATTCACCATAAATCGATATCGATCCGCTTCCATCTTCACTAGTTATATCGCCTCCTTGAATCATAAAATTGGCTATAATACGATGAAATAAACTTCCATTATAAGATTTGCTTTGATAACCATCTTCAGAAGCCAATGTGACGAAATTTTCTACTGTTTTAGGTGCTAATTCTCCAAATAAACCAAGAACAATTTTACCGGCAGTTTCATTACCGATAGCTATAGTGAATGTAACTTTATCGGTTACATTTACTTCATATGCCTAGATGAGAATTAATAATAAAATCATTAGAATTCAGAAAAAATTTGAAAGTTATACCTTGGTATAAATCGATGAAAATGCTAAGAAAAGAACACATAAAATTATTGGTCGATACATCATGAGAATCTGATTCACTTGTGATAGCTACATGTGAATGGTATGCGGCTGCAGGCATTGGAAAGTATAGTTATTTTCTAATCGTTAAAACAAAGATGATAAGTTATACGATTAAATAGAAACATATGTGGCTAACAACAACAAACCCAAAGACTGTTATATGGAATGTCCCAAATGGTAGCACACCACTACCAATTATTCGTCCAACAATTGGGTGTTGGCTTTATGTAAACTATAGTTTTGCTACACGAAGAAGTTTATTATAAATAGAAACTTTCAGATCCATAGACACTTCCTTGATTCTTGTTATGAAATAATTTTTTTTTCAACAAAAATGATGCGGATTTTTCATGTTTCTTTGGCACATTCATCGATTTGAAACAATCCTTAACTCGAAGGCAACAATGACATGTGATTTTGAATGCGGAACCAAAATGATAGATATAGGAGGAAAAAGTTTACAAGATAAATTTGCCCTTCAGAGACACCAAGAAATGGAGATTTGTTTTTTTTTTGTAAACCACATTTTGACCTCATTGATTGGATCAAGTTTGTCAAAATATCCGATCAATAGTTATTAGTCAGTTTCGTTGGTATAAAGTGTATAATTACCATTTATTAGCTTCGATTTTTCTCAAGCTTATGAACTTTTGTTGATTATCCAACCAATGTACAACGGGAAGAAAAATATACAGTAAACTTTGCGGTTCACTAGAACGTTGATACGAAAGACAATTAAATCCATTTGAGCGAACAACAACGATGTAAAAAGACTTTGAATAATTTTGTTTCGGGTTATCACCGGTTAAGAAGCAAAATTAGCGGTCAACTTTTACTTTCGTTTTACTTCATTGAAAACACCGGTTTGACATAGAGTTAAAATATTGAAATTTACTTTCAAGTATATTATGCACCTGATCTAAATAACGTTATTAAGTGATTAATTAGAACAATGACACCCACATCAATCATTGTTTATTTTCAAAGCAATTATGACACCCACATCTTTATACAGTCCAGGTTTATGATACCGATAATTGAGCAAAAACTATTATCATAGATTTAAAATGCATGTTTATGTTGTAATTTTTAATTTCCGTTTCGTTTGTCCGTAAAACGCTGAGAATAATTTCATGATAAAATGGATTCAAATATGATAAAGATTAAAATCCAATCAAGTTATCCGAAAATCATGGCGGTGATTGTGGCAATCACTTTCATCATACACTATCGAATGTAATGGCAAATCATTCAAGTGAGACTTCTCTTTAAACCTTTCATCTCTCATGATCAATGTCTGGTGTTAAATTAGAGGTTCAAAGTTTTACTATAAAAACGGTGAGGTTTGGATTTTTTTGTTCCATCAGTTGTTCAAACAATTTCGAACAAACTATTACAGTGACCAGTGCTAGTGATTTGTTCATCATAAAAATCGTTTTTATTTCAAAGCTCAAACCCTTTAATTCAATTGACCATGTACTATTCAAGATTATTTTCTTTGGCAGCCATTATTGCCCTGTTCATCATCGCTCATTTTGATATAGCTTTTGGTGGCAGTGAGAAAAACGATGATACGATAATCATTGGTGGCGAACATGGTTGTGGGCCAAAATTGATCTACAAAGGTGGTGGCAAGAAAAAAGGCGACATTATCATGATGAACGATTGTAAAAAGAAAAAGACTCATTACATCCCGTATCCGGTTTACCATGGTGGATATGAAGAGCACGGTGGTTACGGACATGGTGGCTATTAATCCTATCTAACATAATAATGAATCAATTCTCATGATGAATTCTGGTAATTTTTCATCTAATTATGAAATGGAAATTTTTCTTATATGCGGCCTTGTCTTTTTCCTCGAACTTAATATATATCCAAATTAATATTTATTAAAATTTTCGCCATTTTATTTATCATTCAATAATAAATTTACATAAAATACTGTTGTTTTTTTCCATTAATAATTTATAATTCCAATTGAAGACTACCCGTTTTTGATTTACGCGAAAATGATGGTTTTGATAAAAAAATTATGTTTGATGCTAGATAAATAAAACATTCGGATATGCTTTTTCGATCAGTTGCCGATACTTCGATAAATTTAACCTTTTCTTGTGCTACCCATTTGCGGATTTCCTCTAGATTTATAACAGCTTCATTTATTTTGTCCATTTTGTTGGCAACCAATACTATTGGTATCTATATGGATAAAAGATAGAACGTTAACTAATCAATACATAGGCTAACAATTGGAATTTCACTTACATCTTTTTTATCCTTTAGTTTTTCGATATTCTTTTTAATCTGAACAGCCATCATAAAAGATTCTTTATCATTGATGGAAAAAACTACCAAAAAGGCCTGTGAACCATTCGAATTTTATTGATAATCTTAAAAATCAAAATAAATTACAACTTACATCGCAAAATGAAAGGCACATTTTGATTGCATCGATATTTAATGTTTCCTATGAGAGTTAAATCAACAAAAAAAAAAATCAATTTCAACTATCATGAAACATTTAAATACCATTCCACCATAATCGTAAAGGAAAATTTTTTCACGAGAATTTTTATCATATTCAACCATTGCACAATAGATATCTTCACTTGTTGGCTCATATGGATTTTTTAATCGATAATGATTACCATATATAGCCTCATCAATAATGGTAGTTTTTCCGACCCTAGGAGATCCTAGAACGGCCACTTTGAAAGCATTTTTCATGATTATTGTATCTTTACACGGTAGATGATCATTTCGTGGAAAATTGATGACGATTGACAATAATAACAATCAACAATTTTTTTTTTATTTATCCAATGATAATTAATAACCGACTACGACATCTAGTGTAATCGGTTATTATTAAAAATAATGAAAATAATTAAATAAAAATATACGACATCTGGTGAAATGTTATGATACGAATAATGGTAATTTTTTTTTTCATTTTATTTATTAATAAAATAAATATATAATTGACGGCCAAAAATAAAAATTAATCCTCTGTCAATGTCAATCATGATGATACCATACAGGTGTGATATCCGGATTTTATTATTATTTTTCTCAATATAAAATTATGCACTATTTTTGGTAACAAACAATACAAACAATGATTTTGTCATGATTGAAGAAAATCATATCAAAAACTTATAACAATAATAATGATGATGATGATGATGATATTGATAACATAAAATCCAATTGTCAAGTATAAAAGAAATTGGTGTGAATTAATATAATTAATAATAATTTTTATTTTTTTTCCATGTCAATCTTATGATGATTTCATTTTGTACCTACACACACACACACACACACACACACACACACACACACACACACACACACACACACACAGATTTATATATATTAAGTTTATTATTGATGTTAAGGTGTGTGTGTCGGTATGTTTATGATGTCTCAATAACGATGATGATTAGATTGTGTTGCCTGTTGATAGACGAAAAAAAAACAATAAGAACCGACCAAAAAAAAAAAATCAGTAAACACAAACATAGATACACAGACACACACACACACACAAACAGACCTAGTCCATCGTATGATAAAGATATATAGAAAGTTTAATCTTATTGAAATTAGAATTTTTTTAATGATTCATGATTTTTTCTTCACTACAGATCACATTTAATTTGACTCTTTACATTCGATTCTTATTACTTATTATTATTATTGGCAAATTATCGATTAAATTTCAAAATAGAATCATCGTATATTTCAATGTACAATTCTTGTTAATGTTTCAACAACAAGAATGTCACTTGTGTTCACTTGGTACACAAGTCATTCATAATAATTTGAATTGTACATTTAATCAAGATAAGAAGAATTGAATACAAATATAATGATATCAGTGATTGTTACCATCTTGTTATTATCATTTACGTCATCATTATTATCACCATCACCATCGACAATGATGGATAGATTTCCTTGCAAAAGTAATCTTTTCTATGATTTTCGTAATATCGATCGTTTTATGGACAATATGTGTGCACAATGTTTATGGTATATGGCTGGCAGTGAAGGTCCATGGATAAATTTTGATTCAGTACATAAATGGAAAGTAATCTATAATTATAGTGATCAAATCAACGTTCTTCTTTGCAATCCGAATTGTACGGAATTCAAATATGAAACACTTAAACAGCCGAATAATTCCATTCAAAAAGAGTTGAAATCCGAATTTTATATGGTAAGACTTTAATTAATTTTCATCATCAAATCTATTATCTAAACAAATCATTGAATTCATGAAGGGTCTTTTACTCGATTGTTGTGAACAAGCTCGTCAATGTTGTGTACGAATGTTGGAAAATGGAAATCATGATTCCCATGAACATGATCATTGTCCAGCTAAATGGGATGGTTTCATGTGTTGGAATTCAGCCAAACCGGGTACAATCAGTTATCAAACATGTCCCAGTATGACATATTTTGCTTTGGGTATTAAACCAACATCATGTCGAAACGAATTAGCGAATAAAGAATGTTGGCACAATAGTACATGGGCTAGAATAAGCAAAGCTCATTTCGATGAAGTTGAAAAAAAATGGATCAACTATTCTGAAGAATACACAAATTATCTACCATGTTCGACACCTGGTGCAACAATTAAACTAAAATTTATTCGTATATCGATAGTTATCTATGTCATTTCTTTGGTACTCACATCGATCGGTTTCATTTTACTCTGGACATTCTGCAATGAACGTCACAAATTGAGAGAAATTCATCTTAATTTTTTCCTATCGCTCATACTCACCGCATCATTTTCTCTTTCTGTATTGATATTCATCAAAGAACAACATTATCGTCTCAATTCTATGATCGATAAAAAGTAAGTCATCAATTTGTTATCTATTCTATTTTTAATGATAATTTTTTAAAAGTCCAATATGGTGTCGAATATTGATGCTTTTGATGAAAACGGCGCGTTTAACCAATTATTGTTGGATGTTAAATGAAGGCATTATACTTTGGCAGCTTGTTGTCCGTCCAATGCCTGTCAATAAAATAAGAATGACCAAATTCTATCTGTTAGGATGGTTTTCTCCCATCATAATAATTTCATTTTATACATTTATTCATTCAATGGAAGTATTTAACAAAAGTTGTTGGACCAAATCGATGGGTTATTGGGAATTAATATACATTGTACCTACCATTACATTCATTGTTGTAAGTATAGAGTAGAAATATTTATTTTACAAATACTGAATCAATGAATGAAATTTTTTTTTTAAAAGATAAATACCATATTGTTAATCTACATGATGTATGTTTTGTTGCATAAATCATTTACTACATCAAACAACATGAATCACCAATTACGGTCAAGTGTTGGTAAATCCTTATTGTTGGTGCCAGTGTTTGGAATCCACTATATGTTCTACATTGTTCCATTCGATCCATTCGAATCATGTGCTTCGTATCAGTTCGTATTCCACTATATAATGATCATCACCGAAGCATTACAAGGTTCAATTGTAACGGCAGTATTCTGTTTCTTCAATCAAGAGGTATGATTTTCACATTTTTTGATGATAATAAAATTCTCTTTATTTCATTAACAATGTAATTCTCTGTATAGATTCGTGAAAGTATTAAAAGAAAATTTGATAAAATGCGTCTTCGAAATCATTCCATCACTCAACGTCGTAATACAACTGTCGACAATGATGTTATGGAGATGGAAAAATTGAATCAAGTTGTAAAACTTAATGATTCATGACTTTTCGCGATAGTGATGATTATGTGCCAGCCATTCTGAGATTTTCAACCAAAAAAAAAAAAAAAAAAATTTACAACCAACACCGATTCATAATGATGTTTTTAGACAGCAACAACAGTATAACAATGCCAACCGAATGTCAGCAAATCGATGTCACAATATATATATATCATTATAAATGTCTTCATACAAAGTTTAGCTTTTCACATCCACCACAAAAAAAGTTGACAATTAAAATTGTAAGAGGAGAATTCATGTATTTCAACAAACTAAAAATGTGAACATAAGTTTAAACACTAACAAACTAGAATTCATGCTAATCGACGTTTCGTAATCATTCTGTGTGTGTGCATATATATGTAAAATTTTCTTCAATTTTAAATCTTTTTTCCCTTTTCGAGAGATTCTATCATAAACGCCCATAATATTTTATTCATTCATCGGATCATCTTATTAAAGATTATTGTATTTAAAAAAAAACTAGTTTAAATAATTTTGACACATCATTGACATAAAGTGTGATTTTAATCCTCTTTTTAGTGAAACGGCCTACGGCTCCAGATGTCTTGAATGCCTAAAACTCTTTTCTATTTTTTTTTTTTTTGACTTTTAAAAATGAATGAAATATTTTTTTTATGATAAATACCATTTCGTTCACATCATTAGTATGGTTGGTTTTTTTTTAGTTTGCTTGTTGCTGGCCATTTTAGATGATCATTGATTTGGCCATCTGTTGCATTACATGCACACACACACACACAAACAGAAACAAGCATACATACTAAAATTTATCTTATGTTTTATTTTGCATTGTCCTTGTGACAAATTATGTCTACGAGATCGGAAAAATTCCACGTTCTTCGGAGAAAAAACTCGATCATAACTGGTTTAAACCCGAAATTTATGATCAAATTTATTACTCAAAGGCTTAAACAATTACTGTGACAACAATTTATGTTTCTTTTTCCTGAATTCGTATCATTGTCTTTGATGAAAAACAGCGGAACCAATAGAACCATACGATCATTCCAAAACGACAATGAACAAACCACAACCAGCCATACATCGAATCAACCAGTCGTCATTAGGTTTTTGTATTCAAACCACGTAGCCACGATAAACCAACCAACTAGCCAAAAAAAAAAAAATAGATAGAACAACGAATTGGCTTCAAAAAGATCATCATTTACCGCTGTTCATGTTATGAAGACACACACACACACACACACACCAATGTTTGGTCTGCAAGTATAGGTTTTTTGTATTTGTGTGATGCGACCAATATTATTCGTGTCTTTGTGTGATTATTTATATTGTACAAAGTTCAAAGTTAATTATCCATGATTATGTGAATCGATATTCTCGATCATTCTATTAGTTCGCGGAAAATTTGATTGATTTTCTCTGAACTATTCAACTTTCATCATCATCATCATCATCATTATCTTAACTTTCACCTGTTGTCGTTCAAAACTATTAAAGTTCGTCGTGAACAAGATTGATCGATTCGCTTGATCAGTTTGAAAATTCATTCATTCAATTATTTCTCACCAACTAACCCTAGAACCGTTGTTCATATATTTTGTTTATATGGATAAAATGATCATCAATTTTCTGCGTATGCCAAAATAGCAACTAGCGGTCAAACTAATTAATATTATCTTTAACTACCACTAGACCACCACAACCACCATCAGAGTTACATTATGCTTTGAATTTTTTTGTGGTTTTTTTTCTGGTCGATAGTTCATCTTTCCTTCAATCGATTGAACAAGAAGAAACCGGCAAAACTTTTTCAGTGTTAGTTTTCCTGATGTGTTTATTATTGTTTCCATTCATAATCATGATCATCAATTGAACATTACCTGATTCTTGAATTTTGATACATTTAACAGTTTTGCCTAAAACACGACCATTTTTTTCGCATTTATTTGTTTGATAATCAACCAACCAATTCAACAATAATAATAAAAGCTCCAACCATGTTTATTTGTTTTTATGCCAATTGATAGTAGTATAAATAAAAATACCATGGATTTTTGTTTTTAGTTTTTTTTTTGGATTAATGAAGATGTAATCTTTTGATGTTTGTGTAAGTTTTATGAACACATACACAGAGAGCTAGACTTTCACTAGACAATCAAGAAATAGAATATATATCAAATATAAACGACAAACGATAATTATAATGAAGAACATGAACAGTATTAGGGTAAATCATGATTAAAAATGAAAAAGAATTTTTTTTTTATTTACTTTGATATCGTCGCTCATCAACCAACCAGATCGACCAACCACACAGTTTTTCATACAATAACTCAATAATTATCACAGACGTGTTTATTTAATCTCATCATTCAATCTTTATAGACAAATAGATGTGAATTCAGGTCAAATATGATTGGATATTTGATGATCACTGAATTCGAATCTATTCAAATGTGGAATTGTTGTTGTCGATGAAATTATTATTTATTTTTCCAAGCAAATTGATTCATGTTATATTTGACAGAATTTAAACAAAGTCTGATTTATATCGTGATAATCACTACCAAGACCATCATCATATTGATGGCCATTAACCACAATCATCATCATTCGACAAAACAATTTGATCAAATTGTTTGACAAACAAATGAAATGATCACTTTCTCTGTTTATAATAATTTTTCTGCTGGATTCCAATAATCAAAAATTCGTAAAAAATTGAAAAAAATACCTACTCATGAAATCTTTAATGTCGTTTGTTGTGCGGGCCAAAATTTTGGCTCGGTGTATACAACTGAAAAATCGATCATTCATCAACGAAATTATAATCTTCATCATGTCTTTATTCATGATTTCATCGATACAATGTACATCATTATCATTTCATCATGATGATAAAAACAGTGAAATAAATCATCATAATTTGATGTCGAAAAATTTTATGTTTAACGACGAAACAGAAAATCTGATCGATGATGATCGTGATCAACAGAGAAAATTTCGAGGTCGAAATAAATATGAATCGACCATTTCTACTTTGACATCTATAGTACCTACGATTGAATTTTCATCACCATCGTATTCATTTTCAGCATTGTCTCATCATAATCCATTGAATGATGAGGAAAATTTTATATTTCGTCATGAATGGAATTTTACCGAAGTCAATCTGGCAAATAGTCATCTATTCTATATTCGAACAAAATATTCATGTTCAACACCTCGTGCTAAATTAGTAAAAGTGTTGGATTATCATGCATCACCATTAAAACAATATGTACCTAGGTATGGCTTTTTGTTCTTGAAATTTATTTTAAATCTTATTATGAATTTTTTTTTGATGATTTGCATAGATGCACTGTTCTGCATAGATGTGATGATGAAAGCGGATGCTGTGAAGATGTGTAAGCATTTGATGAATTGATTTTTTTTTGTTGTTACCTTTGTTCATTTGATCAATTTATATATTTGCAGGACACATCGCTGTGAACCAAGTAAAACTCAATTGGTCGAATTATATTTCCATGTAATTCGTTCCGATATGAAGAATAATATAACTGGTGGTAATGCTGTTGGCATTGAACGGCTTACATTTTTAAATCATACTCATTGTGAATGTAAACCAATCAATTATATGCCAAGAAGTGTCCAAATTCGACCTCCTTTGCGTTTAATGAGTTCTGGCTCTGATCGTGGTCATCAGCAAGGTCATCATCATCATCATCATCACCACCGTCATAATAATCATCATCATAAATGCAAACATGTCATCAAATGTCCCGAGCCATTCATTCAAAGATTTCGTGGCACAGATCAACGCTGTATTTGTGATTGTGTTCGTCAATTGGGCCATTTTACTACCGATAATGATAGCGATGAGGAAGTATCCTACAAATTTTGTCTGAAAATTCAAGATGGCCTAGCAAAATTTGATCCATTACGAGCTAGATGTATACAAACTGGTGAATGTTCTGAACCTATATGTTCATTTGGTTTACGATTCAACAGAACTGAATCTCAATGTTCAACACAGAAATCAGGTCTGTGGTTGAATTACAACCACAACCACCACCAACTGTTTCAGACTAGTTTACAAAATTCACCAAATAATAATCATCAACATCAAATTCGTCATGACCTTCATAATCATCATAATGGACAGCATCATCAACATCATCCACATCATTCTCGAACCTCTCCACCTCCAGCAATCTAAATGACCAAAGCATAGTTTAAACAAAACAAAAAAATCCTAGCTCATTGATGGTATGAGATTCTTGTTTCTTGTCATTCTAATACCATCATCCAAGCATAGCGATGAATCTAAATCTAAGCCAAAAAAAAAATTTCCAATCATTATCTCATACAAAAAAAATTCAATTTAATCTTTTGATTTATTTATAAATAATATTCATTTTTTCAGTGCTTTGCATAAAAAAAATACATATTTCCATAATTCTTTGTATGGTATTTTTCATTTAAATATTTGACAAAAATAATTAACATTTTAAAGCGACACCCTCTCGATGGCCATGATTTGCTGGTGTATATTCGATCAAATAAAGCCTTTTATGGTCATTGTTCTTTCAACAACAACATCATCAACCATACAATAAATACAATAAAATTGAATGTGATCATTGAAGGTGAAGGTTTTGTTGTTGTTTTTTTCCTGGCTGTCAAATGAAATATAGTGATTTCAAGTTTTTTTTTCAATTCGTTGGTAGTTTTATCGACGACGAACATAGAAACACAGACACTTGCAAACACACATCATCATCATCATTAACATTAATATTTAATATCGAAACGAGACGATCAGTAAATTTCAACTCATGGCCATGGTCAAAACTTTGAATTTTTTCCTCATCATTTTTTTCATCACTTTTGATTTGAATTTTATTTGTAAGTTTAATTATGATGCAATTTTGTTCATGAAAAAATTGTTTATTCAAAATTTGAATTAGTTTCTTCGGAGAAACAAGAACAAAAATGTCCTGAAAAATGTCCGAACAATGAACCATACTCACCAGTATGTTCATCGAATGGTACGGTTTTCGACACTGAATGTTCTATGCATCTTTTGTCTAATTGTAGGTAAGAAAAAAAAATTCTTATTTTCATTTTCTAATTATGAACCTGCCCATTATTCATTTGAATCTCATGAATAATCATTGTATTAATTAATTTTATTTATTTTTTTTTGTTCTACGAATGAAAAGCCTAAGCGTGAGTGATTGGGAAGAATGTCGTGGATTACATCCATTATGTCCGGCGGATTGTTTAGATATTCAGGATCCAGTTTGTGCAGGTTAGTTTGTCGATCGGTCAGTCAGTCAGTCACAAAGCCTGTCAAGATTTTTTATTCATAAATTAAGTCTTAATATTCGCACACAAAGAATCTAATTAATTAATCTATCTACTACATAATTTAGATGATAATAAAATCTATCCGAATAAATGCGTGATGCACAAACGTAATTGTGGGTAAGTAAACCATATCATTGATCATTGATGATGAATATTATAAATCACGATTATTTTGATTGATGCATTAGAAAATTGATCCGGGAGCGTCCGATTCTATTCTGTCTTGGAAACAATGCTCGAAGTATGATTACCATTAATAATGAATAAAATTCCTAACAAAAAAAATGATTTTTTTTTCTCACGTAAACAGAGTCCAGACAGGATCATTGTCCGGACAATTGTCTTGAATTATATAAACCTGTTTGTGGAAGTGATGGTCAAGTCTATCTGAATGAATGTTATTTGAAAATGCAGAATTGCGAGTAAGTAAATTATACAATCTCTATTTTCAAGATGGTCATAGAATTCTAAATTAAAAATTATAGCAATGGAATCGAAAAGGTAGATATGAGCGAATGTGCAACGGCTTCAAAATGTCCAGCCTATTGTATTCCAATCTATGATCCAGTTTGTGGATCGAATAAAAAAATCTACCTTAACCAATGTATGATGCTAAGAGAGAATTGTAATGCCACCATCAGGAATATGCCATTACAATTTTGTGTTGGCGACGATGTTGACAAATTATAACAACAAAAATTTTTTCAACATTCAAATTTTTTTTTAATTTTTGATTGAAATATAATTCATCATCATTTTTTGTGAATGCAAATAAAATTGATTATTATAATAAAAATCTGAATGTACGAAAAAGCCTATGATCATCAGTACAAGATGGAAATATAAAGACTCAATTAGTACGAGCACGCATTGCCGAACGACGTCCGGTGACGGCTTGAAATCCACTTTTAATGTTGGCCACCGATCTTCTTGACCCACAACTTTCGCATTGTAAGAAAAATAGACGTGTTTCCTTTTGAAGAATCGTTTCAGGCGAACGACATGTTTGGCAAGCAACATATTCCTCTGTGGATAAAATACATGTTACATGATCATATTTTTTACAATAAAAAAAAACATACTTATATATCGTCGAAGTACACTTTCGATCTGTTTTTGTTGGAAACGACCTTTGATGATCAATTGATTATTTGCATCAACTGAACCACTAGTACCCAATTCGGTTAATAAAAAATTCTGCAAATGTTTCGATTGTCGATGAAGCCTACATGAATAGAGTAATTAGTGATTATTATTAAAATTAAATTACTAATATATATTAGTAAGACATACGATTTACAAATTTCAAGAAAATTGGCAAATGATGTTTTTTTGGTACCAATACGAAGAACTTGTGGAGGACGTAAAACATATTTTTTTCTACCTCCAGATTCACTTTCAGGATTCTTTTCCTTTGATCTTGTTATAAATCATTTCTAATAATTCATCATAGGTATAATCCCGATCCGAATCTAGCCATTTAGATGGGCCACCACTGAATTGGATGTCCTCTTTTAAATCGTCATCAGCATCTGCATCGTTTTCTTTGTCAAAATCATCTTGATCCGGCAAATCAAAAGTAGTCTTCTTTTTCTTCTTCTTCTTCTTTGATACACTGAAATCTAGATCAAAATCATCGACAGCTTCGGTAGCTTGAGAATCATCCGGTTTTTCATCACCAGGGCTTTCTTTTTCACCGCTTTCGCTTGGTAAAGCATTCTCTAGCTCTTCCAGATTGAATGGTTTCTTTTTCTTTTTCTTCTTTTTAAGGCCGGAAAAATCGGCTAAATCCAGATCATCGTCCAATGGAACATCATTGGTTTTTGTTTCAGTGGCAACATTTGAATCATTTACACTTTCAGTTTTGACAGATGATTCTTCATCGTCCAATGCACTAAAATCATATGGTTTTTTTGTCTTCTTTTTCTTCTTCGTAGTCAAATCTAAATCCTGAATAATCAAAAAAAAGGAATAGTTTTCAATTCATTGTAACAATGCAAATAATTAATTACCAATTCATCGTCGGCCATTATTGATTAATTTTCTCTGTATGAATATTGAATTTAAAAAAAATTGATCAAAAATTATTGCATCAGAACAACACTAACACTGTTGCTGAAATCGGTGTCGGTGCCATCGAAAAAAAATCGGATAATGCTCTCTCTCCATGCATAAAAATGCACGACACGCACACAAGAAAATTTAAACACTATCGATACTATCGAATATGTGATGTGCGCACAGTACAAACCCGAAGAAATTAAAATAGTCGACAAGTCCATTGTAATTTCAGCTTGTTTTCCCATTTTTTTTTCAAAATCACTTGCATTTATTTAGTTATTTTGTTTCGAAAAATAAAAAACACTCAGGGACTTTATCACCTGGATGGGAGACGATCAAATAATGTCTATGCCGGATCTACCCGAAGAAATAATTGAAAGACAACGGCAAGAGAAAAAAGATTTAAATGGTATTTATTGAACATTTTTAATACTTGAAGTATTTACTTGAAATTTAATTTTAATTCTTATAGCTAAAGTAACAAAACTACGGTTTAGTGTTCCTAAAAATGATAAAAAAAAGAAGAAAGAGATAAATAGTCAAATTGAATTGATGGAAGCAGAATTGAAAGCAAAACATGAACAAGAAATTTTCGATTGGCAGCAGCAGCAGCTACATCAACAACAACAACAACAACAGAATTCTCTCCAACAAAAAACTTTATTAGAATCATCACAAAATGATAAATCAGATAATGATTATGATTATGAAGAGAATAATAGATCGATGGAGAATTTAAATAAACCAAAAATAACCAAATCACAACGTCGACGAGAAAACAAAGAACGTAAAGATCGTGAACGACAAGAACGTATTAAAGCTGGTCTATTAGACGATATTGATAGTACGAGATCGATTGAAATGAAAAAAATTGAAAGCCTTTTAGAGGAAAGAAATCTAAGCCTTTGTGAAATACCATCAGATGGTGATTGTATGTATAAAGCAATTGAACATCAACTTCGGTTGACACGGAATATCGATCAAACGGTGGATGAATTACGATATCAGGCTAGTGAGTACATACGCCAGAATAAAGATGATTTCATACCATTCTTATTGAACGATGAAAATAGTGTGGTGACTGATAAAGAATTTGAAGTGTATTGTGATAAAATAGCAAATACAAAAACTTGGGGCGGTCATCTGGAATTGAAAGCCTTGTCAAATACTCTTAAAGTGCCTATCGAAATAATACAAGCCGAAGGTACTCCAATACAAATCGGTTTCAGTGAATTTGGTTCGAAAAATCCTTTGATTCTATGGTAAATCTTTTATATATTATTGTTTATATAATATAATCATTTATCATTTCAAATTATAGCTACTTCCGGCATGCCTATCGTTTGGGTGAACATTACAATAGCGTTATGCCTAACGGTGAAGTGCCTGATGATGAAGAATGGCACAATACTGAATGACATCTTGAATTTATAAACGATGGACAGATACCTTCCAACCGATCGACGAATTTAATAATTCAATCCAATCATCTATAATTTCGTCTTAAAATTGCATTTTATTTTATTTTATCTGCATGTTATTTCATTTTTCTTCCAATTGTATTATAGCACACATCGACACAACAATGATATTAATTATCTCTTTTTGGATGAATCATTTTTTCATATTCATGATGACTGCAAACAAGAAAATAATGATTTTGATTCATCCTTTTTTTTCTTTAAATTATGTCTATAAAATTCTATGGTGATCATCATTTTTTTTATATTCTGGCCTTATTATATATTTTGAATTCGATAACATACAATAGAAGATAATGAGAAAAAAATCAACTTGATTCGAATTTTTTCTCTGTCCAGCAAACACATTACCTTACGATGCCTATTGTTATGTTACGAATTTTTTTTTCTCGGTTCGTTCAACATCAAAACTTTGGTTATACGGTCATTGACTTTAAATGTTCTTTGAAGTGTGTCTCGATATATCGGTGTATATACATAGATGGTTAAGATGAAGATTGCTTATCATTAAACAAAGTCGACAATGCTAGCTATAGTAGTGAATAGTTGATCGTGCATTGAGCCAGATATTCAAGTTGATTTTTCCGATCAAGTTTAGATATTACTTTGTTTTCTTTTCTTTTTTTTTATTCAATTTTGAACGTTGTCAAAGTTCGAATATATTTTCATACCTGGATCATCTTTATCATTGACGATGATGGTCGACAATCCATCGCTAGCATTATCTAAAGATGTAGCGCCAACTGTAATGCTTCATTTCTTTTCATAGTTCAAATAAATCGATGGTGATTGATGACAATACAAAATCCAATGAAAAAATGAATGATTATATCCCAATCTTAAATGGCAGGGATCAAGAAGAACCGCCATCATCATCATCAATTGTTGATTATCATCGTTTGCCACAGGTATGGCAATGTAGAGCTTTAAATTTCAATAAAAATATATCGAAAAATTTAAATGCTGGAAAATGTTGTATAATTGAGAAAACAAATAGTAAAATGAAAATTAAACACGATATAAATAATTTTTGTTATTCATCGGAATCCACACGGTCAATTACATCGAATTCTTCGAGTTTAATGTGCCTGTCAACTGAACATCTAATTAAACCTACAAACAAACACAATCGCTATCATCATTATCGCCATCATTATAATAACAAACATAATCAAAGATTATATAAATCAGCTATGAATTTAGATCAACGATCCAATTATTATAAAACATCAAAGATTCAAAATCCATATTTCATCCGTTTAGGTAATAAATTATTTGTGATTATAATTTTTGTATAATATGATGATTCAATTTTTATTATCTAGACAATCAATATGGCCAACCAACAAAATATTTTCATACACATCAAATGCATCATAAATTGCCATCTTCAAGAGATATACGAGATTATTATACCGGAATCCATCATCAAACACCATCATATTCATGGTTTCCATCGGCAACATATTTTTATCCGACTAACGTTGGAAGGAATCATACCATATTTCAGCTTCCAACCAATCATGGTTATCATCCTTTATATTCTAGTCAAACATTTTATCCAGGAGCTTATTTTCCAACAACAACATCATCGACAGCAATATATCCCAGACAACCAATGCGTATGTCATATAGTCAACCATACACTAAACAACTGCCAACTTCATTGAAATCTGAATTCAACAGCAAAAATCAAATTCCAACAAATTATCATCATCATCATCATCATAATCAATATAACAGTCAAAAATGTAAACTTTTATCAAAAACATCGACCAATACTAATGGCCATATAATCGTTTTGGTGGTCATACTTTCTGTAATCGCAATCGGTGTCGTTATGGGATTGATACTGGCGATAACAATCAATTAAAAATAGTCATGATCTCACCAATTTTATATTCAATGAATTCAATATTTATTCATTTCAAGTTAATCACAGAAATACGATCGTCTTACATGGTCATCATTCATTTTGTATAAAATAAATAATTTTCGATTGATAAATTAAGTTAAAAAATCTTCAAATAATTTGCTAATGAATAATACAATAATAATTAATAGGATATGAATGTTATTTTGATTGAAAAATGTTGATTAGATATTAATGCCTTCCAACGATTATGCTTCGATCGATTGATTATTATCTTAATTCATAAGATTGGTGTGAAATCTTTTCGTAGAATAATTTCCAATAATTTAGGATGTGAATCAATATTTCTTGGCAAACTACGTTTTCGACACAATTCTTCCAATTTTTTCTCTAAAGCCAATTTCTGTTGGCCAGAAAACCATTCATGACGAAGTGAAAGAAGTATCAGTGGCACAATTAGTTGACTTGATTCATAAAGATTATTTACTTCGAAAATTGCATTACTATCATTTGTAACACAATGGCTCGGTATCAAAACAACTGGATTTTCAAATAACATTTCGAATGTTTTTCGTGCTAATTTTTTTGCATCTGTCGTATTATCGACAGCATTAAGGCAACCGATTAAACAACATAACGTATGAATCAATTGACGATCCGGCTGTCCGCTATGTGATGATAATTTACTTTGAATATAATAGACATTCTCTAAAATACTAGCCGCTTCTTCTAATCGGATTGATTTTAGGCAATTTTTAGTCTCTTTCAATTCAGGATAATAAAGAAATTGGGCAAATTCTTTTGATGAACGAATTTCAGGTAAACTAAGGCAATATGTTAAAAATTTTTGAAAAGCCAAACTACGTTCTGCTATCACTTCTGCAGAAAAATTACCAATAAAAATTTTTTTTGGAAATATAATATCTTTGAGCAGTAACGGATATTTTCTTTTGATTGCATTATAAAAATTACGAAATTCTGAATATCTACGTTCAATGATGGCTGGTTCTGTTTCCAATCCGGGTACTCGTTTCATTAGAATAGTATAATTGACAAATTTTTGTCTTGTTTCATTGTTAGTTATTGTACGAGCTTTGATTATCTCAAATATCACACGATATTGAGCTCTACGTGGTGTAGCTGATTCAATTAGGTTATCATTCCAAATATTTAAATAACTTTCTTGATGAATTTGATTATAATTGGAATTCATTGTTGAACTAGAGCTGCAACTTGTATCAGTTGAGAGATCATGATGACCATTTTCGATTGTATTAGGAATATTTAATGGAATTGGCGCTAGTATTTCCAAACGTTCGGAATTATCATTTGTTTGGCCAAAATTTTCGAGATTATCTTCTTCATCATCGCTAGCCAGATATGATGAAAGAAATGTTGATTTATTATTATTACTGGTGAATCGTGTATCATTTCGATTCATTGTTGAATGTTTTGAAATAAATTTAATTTTTTTTTCATCGATAATGTGATGAATCGCAGATGAAGAAATGATCGATGATCAACATAATTGTAACCAAAAACGTCTAAGAAATCCAACTCCGCAATAATAATTTGATTATAATTAATTGGATAAATTATATGTTGTCACAAATTGTTTATTGATGCGAGAAAAATGTAACAAACGCAGTAAACAAAATTGCACAACATAATTATTTCCAAACAATCTGTTGCTGATTTTATACGATGTTAGTAGTTACAGTCCCCACTAACAGTTCAATTGAGATAGGATTCACATTTTTATATTATTTCGGTTCGATTTTTAATTGAATTTATTATTAATAGAAAATAGAATAGTAACAAAAATTGTAGATAAAATTTTTTTTCTAAGAAATATTAATCTCCTAATTTTAGGCGAGCAAATTCATTAGACAATTTAATAGCTTCATCCAATGATCCAATGTTGTTTCCGATAGCTTGAGCTGATTCCTGTTTGCCGCCACCTTTTCCTTGGATAACAGTCGTTATATTCTGAACCCATTCATTGGCAGTCAATCCTTTTTGAGCTATTTCTTTTGATACATTAGAAAGACAGATAATTTTATTGTTATCCGAATCTATGCTAAAAAATAGCACAGCAAGATCCGGATTAATAGCTCGAGCAGCTTTCACTGCCTGATCGAGGGCCTTGGCATTGGAGCCAGCATTCAACGAATTGACCATGTACTTTGATTTCGGATTGTCGGTGGCTAATTGTTTTGCTACATTAACAACTTCGTTTGCTTGTGAAGCTTTTAGTGAACGTTCATAATTATCTAGTTGTTTCTTCAATTGGTTCAACGTATTACGGAGTTCTTCTTTTTTCCAGCAAGATATATCCGATGCAGAGACTTTTTGCTGCAAATCTAGCACTTTTTTGGCCATATTTTTTAATTCAGTAGAAAATTTTGATTGGTTAGCATTGATATAAATTCCCAATTCGAAAGCAAGTTTTTCAAGCTCGGCCAACTTGTTTATTGATCGGGTAGCTTCAGGACCTGTAACACAGACTATTCTTCTGATTCCCTTGGCAATCGCTTCTTCACTGGTTATAACGAAATCTCCAATATGTCCACTTCGTTTCAAATGAGTACCACCACAAAATTCGATCGAAGTATTCATACCAGCTGGACTGGATGGATCTTGTAATAGGTCATCTACAGGAACGCCAATTGAAACTACACGTACTGGATCCGGATAAGTTTCATCAAAAACAGCACGCAATCCTTTCACAGCTTTGGCCATTGAAAGTGGAGATTCTTTTGCATATACAATTTCATTCTTGTCAATCATTTCTCGTGCAATACTTTCAGCTTGTTTTACTTGAACACTTGTCATTGCAGACTGGTGAAAGAAAAAAAATCTCATTATTAATATAAATTACGTTTTTCAAAAATATAACTAACTTTGTTGGTAAAATCGAATCGAAGTTTATCAGCAGCTACGAGCGATCCTTTTTGATCAGTCTCTTTGAGAACAGATCTTAGGGCATAATTCAAGACATGAGTACCGGTATGATTATTCATAATTAATTTTCTTCTTTCCTATAATAAAAAAATTCTGTATGATGATATATTTAGTTAATAATTCATAAAATGACAAACCTGATCAATTTCTAGTCGAAGTACATCATTAACAAGAAGTTTACTTTGTCCAGAAGATTCTTGCATCAAATATCCAATATGTACAACATAACCACCAAATGATTTTACTTGAACCACTTTGAATTCAATTTCAACATTATTATCATCATTTTCCTTGATCATATAACCCGTATCATGTTCTTGGCCACCGGCTTCTGCATAAAAATTGGTCGAATCTAAAATGATGCCAATCAAATCAGTATCAGAAACTTCTTGAACAAATGATTTTTCTTTTCTAATGGCCAAAACTTTTCCTTGGCAGCTTTCAAAACGATAAACACTATCTTTTTTATCAGTTAAAGAATTGTAATTGTACTTGGGCAAATCATTGGTTACAGGAATTTTAAGATGATCACGAAGTTCAGAAATAGCATGGACATCTAGTTCAACTTTTGTGTCTAATTGAGATATTTTTGCCTGTGATATTAATTGAGCTTGAGCTTTGGCTTTTTCGAATCCTTCCATATCAACGCATAAACCATGCTCTTCGACCATCAATCGGGTAAGATCTATAGGGAATCCATAGGTGTCATACAATTTCCATGCAATATCCCCAGGTAAGATCTTACTGCCTTCCAATTTTTCAATGGCAGTTTTTAACAATCGTTTACCTCGCGACAAAGTCTTCAAAAATTGCAACTCTTCTTCGTTGATGATGTCCATGACCAATTGTGGATCTTTGTTGAGCTCAGGAAAAAAATCACCCAAAGTTTGAACGACGACCGGTACCAACGATCCAAATGCACCTGGCTTTCCACCAAGCTTTTCAATGTAACGAACAGCTCGACGTAAAATTCGTCTTAGTACGTATCCTCGACCAACATTATCCGGCCGTCCACCATCAGAAAGAGCGATTGTCAATGTACGAACGTGATCAGCCACTACACGATATGCCATATCAATACCGTTAGTATCGTCGTCTCCAAGTTTTCCGGTATAATTTGGAGCGCCTGTATTTTCCTGGATGGCTTTAAACAGAGGTTCGAAGATATCCGTGTCATAGTTTGAAGTTTTGTCCTGAATGACCGATACAATTCTTTCAAAGCCCATACCAGTATCTACATGTTTTTTGGGTAACGGCACTAATAAACCATCATTTTCACGATTGAATTGAATAAACACGAGATTCCAGATTTCAATTACATTCGGATCGTCCATGTTAACTAATGCAGCTGCATTACGGCCACCAATTCGATCATAATGGATTTCTGAACAAGGTCCACATGGGCCGGTTTCGCCCATTTCCCAGAAATTATCTTTCATATCGAACGGAAGAATCTTTTCAGGATCAATGCCAATTTCTGACCATATTTTTCGAGCTTCTTCATCAGGTTCCAAATTAGCTGCTTTGTTGCCTCCAAAATAGGTAACATAAATCCGATCTTTTTCAAGGCCATAAACTTTGGTCAATAACTCAAAAGACCAATGACAAATTTCTCGTTTGAAAAAATCACCAAACGACCAATTTCCAAGCATTTCGAAAAACGTATGATGGTAAGAATCTTTTCCGACATCATCTAAATCGTTGTGTTTACCACCAGCACGAATACATTTTTGGCTATTCACCACTCTCTTGTACTTGGACATGTCGCTGTTTGGATCAACTGTCCCTAGAAAAATTGGTTTGAACTTTTTAAAACAAAGAATTTTAGATATGATATAATAGAAAACAAACAAATCGAATACCTGATTCATGCCAGCATTGGCAAACAAAAGTGTTGGATCTTCATGAGGAATGACTGATGAACTTCGAACAAAAAGATGTTCATATTTATCTTTGAAAAAATCGATAAAAGCTTGTCGAACATCTCTGTATGATCCTGAATTCAACGACATGATCAATTGATATTAATTATGAAAATGAAATTTTCGTACAAATAAAAATAAATTCAAAAAGAGTAAAAAAAAATTACACGTCGAAACCCAATCAAATTGCATGCATGCAATTTGTTGGTCATATCATGTGGAAATAGTTTTTCCATATGATAATTCGCGCATGTACATTATAATGTTGAACATTTTTTTTTCTTTAATTTTGAAAATCAATCTATTCAATCGAAGTTCCTGGCATTGAACAAACAGAGCAACAGCATAACATTTACTTGGCAATACTTAATATCATCATCAAAATTAATGTTTGATCTTGGAACAAGAAGGAAACTGGATCCATTTTTGTTTTGCGCTGTCTCACAATATATTGAGTATGTATACATATATATGCATATAGGATATTATATTTCGAATAAAATTTTCATTTGAGTTTCATTATATACAATTAGATGATGGAAGGGTTTCATTGAATCGAATGTTGAACAACAACAAAACAAAACAAAAAATAAAATTCAATGATCATTAGCTAAAAATATTTGCATTTAGATCACATTTAACTATAGTAATGTATATGTGCTGTTTTCATCATCGATATTATACCAGCATCAATAAACGAATAGGAAAAAAAAGGCGGAATACATTTTGCTTTATAGGCAAACTGATATTCTGCCCCAACCCCCACAAAAAAAAATATCATCAGGATATACAAGATTCGATTAATGGGTTAATTAATGTGATTGTAGAATTCTATCATAATGATGATGATGATGATGATGATGATTCGATTTTGTTTTCATTCGAACAATCAAAGAAAGAAAAAAACCATTTGGTTCGATTTTAAATGAAACGATTGGATGGATGGAAAAAAAAGAAAGTAGAAACAAAAAAAAAATTAACCTTTATTCATTCATCTTGATTTGAAATTCTTTTTTCTCACACACACACACACACAAAAGAGGCTTATTATGGAACGGACAAATTGTATTCTTGTTTGTTCATACTAATGAAATGTTTTCAGTATAATCGTCTTTTCCATGATTGATATTAACAACAACAAAAAAATAAATAAATAAATAATCTGTTGTCGTCGGTTAGTTGTTTTTTTTTCTTGAGTTGTCATCATGATCATCCATTGTCATCATCATATAAATATATGTATATGAGCCTTCAGAATTCAATATATATAAGGAAAAAAATGAAATTTATATTCTCGAATCTTTAAATCGGATTTATTGTTTTGTTTGCCCGACAATAGACGATTCTGTATGCGATGACAAAAAAAAAAATTTTTGAAATTTTTGTACACTACATATTCAATATATTTTGTCTGTCAGACCAAAATAGTCATTAAAATCTGGAAAATTTATTTTCATCTTTCTTAAAATCATCATTTTATGATCTCGTCGAATCAATCTAAACATTTTTTGAGTCATTAATTTTGAAAAAAATGTTTTATTTTGTCATTTTAGATGTCAAAAATTGATGATTAATATTTACCGATATTACAACAACATCAACGTACAAAAAAAAAAAAAAAAAAAATGATTCAGCCGTTTTTTTTCTATTTTCTTACAAATAAATTTCGATATTTTAATTAACAAATTTTGGTGCAAATTTTAGTGAATTTAAAGTTTTGAGTAAATATTGTTGTTGTTGTTGTTGTTGTTGCAACACGAACAGAGAGAAAATCAATCAATCAATCAAAGAATTAAATGTATTACAAATACTTGTGTTTGTGAGGACGGCTAGAGATTTTTTGTTTTGTTTTGTTTTGAATTAAAAATTCCAAAATTATGTCTATATATAGAAAAGAAAATTCTTGTATTTTTTTTTTTTGAGTGTGTGTGTGTGTGTGTGTGTGTGTATGCGGTAGCAATATTATTCTTGATCGGTTACAATGTCAAAAAAAATCCAGTATTTGTACATTATATAATATATATGAGATGATTATTGCGTTATGAATTTCAGGTTTTATTTTTTTTCAAACAAAAAAAAAATTTGTTAACCGGATATTTATACACTGGTTGTGTATCGTGGAACAATATGACGACTAGAATTTTTTGTTTTTAGGATTGGCATGTGTGTGTGTGTGTGTGGGATGAATGAATGAAATCTGACGCTATGTAACAACAGAATGAAAAATTATAACAATCATTAAATGAACAAAATGGAAACAAAATTTCATTTTTTTTGGTGAAAAAAATATGCAACAAGTTTTGTTGTTGTTGTTGTTGTTGTTGTTTTTTTTGATATGAAAACAAAATTACAACTAAATAATAACGTCTGTGTGTGTGTGTTTGTGTTGAAAATCGAAATCCTGAAATGAAACAAATAAATAATTGGGTAATTTTTTTTGTTGTTGTTGTTGTTGTTGTTGTTGTTGTTGTTGTTGGTCGCCTTGGATACCGGGATTCTGTTTCATTTTGTTGTTGTTTATTGTTGTTGTTGATTTTGTTTGTATAATTTTTTTTTCTAATCAACAAATGGAAATAATAAAAAAAAGGAATGCTGCCTGTTGAAACAAAAACAAACAAATAGATAGATTGAATAAATAAAAGAAAGAAAAAAAAATCCAAATCCAGAATCTATGTGGAATTTTCAAATGCAAATGTTGTGTGTATGTGTGTGTGTGTGTGCACGAATGTGAATTCTATTTTTTTGGATTGAAATGACTAGAAATGACACTCATATATTCAAATAATGAAATATTGTGTGCAAGTAATAAACTATGAAATGTGAATGAATATTATAAAAAAATAGTTGTATTAAACGATTTGAAAAACTACAAAAAAAAAAAATTTTTTTCATGCAAAAAAAATTCTGTCATGATCATTATAATATGTTATTATATAAGGAAAAGCAAAATGAAATTTTCTCTGAGCAAATAATTCGAATCGTATTGTATTTCGATTTAAAAATTGAAATTATTTTTTATTATTTATCACACTAAAATCAATGATGATCAATTAAATCAATTAATTCTATACATATACAAATATATAAAAATGAATTTTTATTTTTTTTTTTCTTCCAAATAAATCAGAGATGATCATCATCATCATCAGCAACTATGCAATGCTGTACCAAATATGCATACAATGAGCATTTTTTTTCTCTCTCTCTATAGAAAAACAAAAAAACAAAATCTATAGATTGTATGTGAAATTGGAAGAAATTTGCAAATATGCAAATGATGATGATGATGTTTATTGCTTCTATGAAGAATAAAATAAAATAAAAAATGAAGTATTAAACTATAGTAAAATAGAAAATGTTTGTATGTCTGTATGGATGTGAGCATTAGGCCGATGATGATATATAGAGCAGTAAAAATGTATGATGCTAAACACTATGATGATAATATGATGCAATGAAATAAAAAAAAAAAATTTTTAATAATCAAATTTCCAATTGACTATTGTGAATATATTTTTTTTTTTGGTTAGATATTTATCGAGTATTCTAATCACATTATATATTTATTTGGATAAACACAAATATCCACGTTTTTTTTCGTATTGATTTCTACCATTCGTTTATTTCGTATATATTTGAAATTCAAACACTGAAAAATAAACAAACTTCAAGAAATTTTTCAAACAGTTTGGGAAAAAGTTTTTCCAATAAAATTTTTTTTGTTGTGGTGGTGGTGGGTAGTAACTTTGATGACAAAATGTTTGGTTGATTGAAAATTTGCCACATTAAAGGAATGGTCATTTTGGTGTTTTATTTTTTTTTTGTTTGCAAAAACATATGGCAAATCCATTCCGGTAAAAAAAGATAAAGGCCGGTATATTCTATCCATACGTTTGATATTAATAACCAAAAAAAAAAAAAAAACAGACCAAGATCTTGGATAGAGCCGACACTATATATATTTGATGGCTATATGGAATCTTAGATAAGATCCAAAAAAAATAGTAGTAAACACACATCAAACCGTTCATTTTACGTTATATAACCAAGCAGCCATCCAATTTCGTAATAAATTAACTTTTGCTACTTTTTTAATCTCATTATTATTTTTTTTTATTATGGATCAAAACATCCGATTTTTAGAAAGACGAAAAATATAACTTCGGATTCTGTTCGTATGTTTTATATGGAATAGAAAATACTTTGATGGTACCGATTTCATCTTTTTTTTCCTGTTATATAACGTGTTTATTATTATTATTATTATTATAGACATCTGAGATTTATTTCATGGATAAAAAATAATGGATACATCGTACAAATGAATGACGTTGTTGTGCCATCATTTTCATGCCATCAATGATCATGATCATCATCATCATCATCATTATTATCACGATGTATAAATTCACATTCATTCAATCTCAATGCAAGTAAGTAGTATTCATGGCATGATCCTAAAATGAAACTTTTCAATGAAAATGATGGTAACAATCAAAATCAGCCAAAGATAGTTAGATAGATAGGATAGGATAGATTTCAAGAGCTTTACAAATGTGCCATTATTGTATAATATTCACACACACACACACACACACCGACAAACATACACCCATATACATAGCGTTTAACAACAAGTAATACCAGATTAATTTCACCATCATAGAAAAATCCAGAGAGAGAGAGAAAAAGTATTAATACCATTATATAATAATTTTTTTTCTTTGCCTTTCTCTATTTGGTTTATTGACTAAATCATAGGATTGTGTGTGTGTCCGAGTATGTATTCGAATGATTTCCTCATATTATCAGAAAAAAAAATCAACGAAAGAATCAAGAATTTGTTATTCTTGATTCGTTAAACATTGAATCAAATTCAAGTGTTGATTATATACACAGCCATTATCATAATATATAAATTGTGTTGGAAAAAAAAGTTATGACAGTTTTCATTGTGTCAATTATCAATTATGATCAAATCAAGCCGATCAAAAGTTTTATTTTTTTCCACTTTATTTTCTTTTTCTTTTTTTTTATTTCATACAATTTGAAAGAAAGAAAAACAAAACAAAATGTATGAAAATCTAAATCGATTCCAAAAAGGCAAAGATCATCAGTAAACATCTTTTTTTTATAGCAATGTTTAATGATGATGATGCCCATCATCAACGATAATAGAGAATAATTTTGGTTGATTGATCTGGACGCTGTTGGAATTTTTTATTAACCAACACACACACACACACATCAATGTCACAAAATATTTAATTAGAAAATAAACACACCCCTGTTCCATTCGAATGCAATTCATGTACAGTTGAAAAATTCTTTCAAACAAAAACTTAGATTTGATTCAAAAAAAAATTGTAATGAATTCATTTTTTGCAGATTTTTATTCGGATAGTCAAAAAAAAAAAAAAAAAATGGAATGAAATGACAAAGAAATAAGAAATTTATGCAATCTTTTTTCACATTATACACACACACACACACAAAGATATTTCGACCGGAAACTAACCCGATTCTTACAAGCACATATAATAATAATCAATAATGTTGCAATGTTGAAAATGTAAATCGAATCAGACAAGCAAGAAGTAAGCAAGCACCATATATATACTACCAAAGCAAACCAAAGTTTTTAATTGTAATTTATCTAATGATGCATTCATATATATATATATACGGATTCTGCAAATGCAAGAACAAAAGAAAAAAAAACACAAGTTATGCAAATTAGTTTTTGTTCATCATTATCATTATCATCCGTTGATGTTGAGCTCCAACAACAAATTCTCATGTGCTCACAAACAAAAGCCAATGGTGATGATGATGATGATGATGATTATAACTGAAGTGAAAACGAACAAAAACAAGATTGAATTGAAAGTATTAAACAAAAAGTATCCAGAATTGGACTTGGTTTTTTTTATCTGCAGCTGTTTTTACTTCTATTCATCATCCATTCTTGCTGTAAATGAAGTAATAGTAGTTGGATTGATTGTTGATCGCATTAAATTTTAATTGTATTATTGTTTTCTGGAATATAGTTCTCAATGAAAAGTTTTGATTATTCCATCACATCCATTTCATTGGTGGACATTCAACACACAATATATTTGACACCATCGATTCATTGTATCGACCATCATTTAATATGAACATGAATGAAAATACCCAAAGGAACCAAAAAAACCTTCGAATAAAAAAAAAGAAAGACCAAAAAAAAAAAAAATCCTGATACAACCGCAGTCTAATCAAATCTATCTAGTTAAATTTCTAGCTATGAATTTGCCATTGAAAAAAAAAAATAGAAAATGAACCATTTAGATTACATATATAAAAAGTGGAACAGGAAAAGTTTTTTTTCCCACCAGAATTTAGTTTGTTTTTTTAATGATCAAATTGATAAAATGATCAATATAATGTGATCATCGACTAAAAATATTTGAAAAAAATTCCGGCTATTCCAGCTGATTGGTCAGAATGTTTTTTTTCCAATCAAAATTTGTAAGAATCTATTTATATATATGAATATGGTACCCTTAACATCAACAAGAAAAAAAAACACACCTCTATACACCCTAAAAACTCTTGATGTTGTATTTCTCATTCTTCTTCTTCTTCTTCATCATCATAATTTTTCTGGTTCTAGATGTGCTGCATATATAAGGTACTAATAATAATAATAATAAAACAAGTTTATTGATCATACACACACACACACACACAAAAATCCAATACGAAAAAAAACTTACAAATATCGATGTATGATGTGCTGTGCTGTGTGTGTGTGTTTTGATTGAGGGTTTGGGCAAAAAAAAAAAAAACTTTTATTGAATTCTCTTATAATCTTTCTCTCTCTCTCTCTCTCTCTCTCTTTCTAGTCCCAGTTGTTGTATACTCTTATATATTTTTTCCAAGTTCAATTCAGTAGCTTTATGATTGTGTGATTGTGGAACATACATACATACATACATACAAACACATGAGATAGAATATATACAAAAACCTTATATCAGCATCTGTGAGTAAAAAAAAAAATACATGGCCCTAAAACATTGTAGTTTTCTATTTCCTATTATATAAACACACACACACACATTGATGCAAACGATCCTGCCACAATCTTTCCATTTTCTGTTGTCGCCATTCACCACCACCACCACCACCATCATCATCATCATCATCATCATTTAGTTGGCTCTTTTTTTTCAGTGTAAAAAACTGAATGTTGTTAATGTTATCAAAATACATGAACAATATTATATTAGTATTATTATTATGCTTGTGTATTTGTGAATTTATAACAGTAAAAAAAAATTCACCATCTCATTTTTTTTTTACTGCCTTTAAATAAATGTGTCTGACTTTGTCTGTATTGTTTGTATGTTCAATACATGAATATTTTTCTCACACACACACACACACACACATTCACATTGGCAATATTCTTCTTGTTTAACCAAATTTTTTTTTTATCGATGAAATGATTTTTTTTCTTCTCTATTTTTCTTTCATGGATATAAATCACATTATAAATTACCATTGTCATTGTTGGCGTCAATGGTGATGATTCTATTTGTTTTATTTGAAAAGAAAACAGAAATAGAAATAGAAAAAAAATCACTTTTTTTTCACCTTTCGTTCATACGATTCATGAGGATAATTTTTTTTCTTATGAAAATGATTAAAGATAGAAATAGAAAACAAATCAGAAAAAGAATCAGTATCATTATCATGATTTGTGAAAAAAGAATAGGGGTGGGGAAAAAACATGTTGAAATTCAACATATATATCTCTCTCTATATAATCTGTATGGAATGTGTCAGGTGTCATGCATTTCCTGTAGTCAATAGCAAAAAAAAAACAAACGGTTTTACGCTGATATTATTATTATTATTATTATTTTTGTTGAAAAAAAAGAAAACATTTCGATATGATGATAACAAAACATCAAAGATTGTAAAAAATAAAATATAAAAAACGAAATAAGAATAGTAAAGCAACAAACAACAGAACAGAACAGTAACACAAAACAACAAAACGAAAACAAAAAAAAACAAACAAACAAAAATATCTAATAAAGAAAAGATGAAAATTGAAACGGAATTGTGTATACAGTGTTTGTGTGTGTGTGTGTGTGAATGTTTGGTTATAAATATTTCGTTTTGGTCTTTTCATATCTCTTCGTTTGTTCTTTTTTTTTTATTTTCACATCTCATATATCGATATCAATGTTACTTGACTATAACTTGTCTTTTGATGTATATTATTATTATTATTATTTGTAAAGATAATATCATGTATATATATGATTTATATAGATAAAATACTAATATATTGATTATTTTTTTTAAAAAAACCGGATACGATATATATATAAAACATTATGAAATTACAAAAAGAAAAAAAAAACATACACATTCACACAAACATGCATTTTTTTCTATATATATTAATTGATATATATATGTATAGAGCTAGCTATACACACACACACACACCTTTTCTCAATGATATAACAAAATTATAAATGTTATATATGTAAATGTTATTTTTTTTTTTTTTTTGGATCTGATCTCTAAAATAAATTTTGTTTTTTATGTATTGTTAATAATAAAAGGGCTAATCAATATATTCAGACCGTGGTATCATCATCAGTTTGTTTTATTCGATTGATTTTCGTTTATTTGAAATGATGATATTACTGCTGCCACCACCATTCTGTTGTAACACCTTAGATCGTGTTATTGTAATACTATTTGTATAAGGATTCGTTGTTGTCGTATAGCTTGGCCGTTGTTGTGGTTGTTGATGTTTTTCCGGTTCTTGTTTTTGTTTTTGTTGTTGTTGTTGTTGTTGTTTTACTATTACTATTATTCATTTGATGACTAGCTGTTGTCGTTGTTGTTGATTGCTTGTTATTACTGTTCAATTTTGAAAATGATGTCGATGTTGAAAATGATGACGGTGATGATGATGATGATGATGATGAAGTGGGAGAACAATGATTCTCCAATGTTTCACAATTATTACCATTCGTTTCCATTGATTGTTCTGTCGTTTGTTGTTTGCTATTATTATTACTGTTGTTATTGTTGTTGTTGTTGTTGGCATCCTTAAAACATGATGATTCGTAATGCTTGTTGAGATATGATTTAAGAGCAAAAGACTTATTACATCGTTCGCAACGAAAATGTTTGAATGCACTATGTGTTTGCATATGAGCTCTATGAGTAGTAAATTCATAACCATCATATGCGATTCCAACAATATATTTACATGGAATATTTATAAAGAGGGATGTGTGAAAGGGAATGAAAATAGAATAGGCAAGAAAAAAAAACAAGAGAAAAAAAACCAATGTCAGTCAATATTTTCAATTAGAATTCTTTTTCAATGCATAAAAACAACAACAACTACAACAACAACATATATAGTGATTCTAATATAAAATTTTTTAGCCATAAAAGTCAAATTCATCTATATCGGAGGGTTCAAGGTTCTCAAATTGTTGTTGTCGTTGTTGTTGTTGTCGTTGTTATTGTCATCATTGTTTGCGAATGAGTAAAAAAAAACATTTTTCATTCAAACTATTCCATTTCTATTCAAAATATAAAAACTATTTATTCATATTTACACAGAAAAAAAAACTTTTGAAACACGCTGAGACATTATTATTATTAATCATTCTAGTTTTCCATTACAATTTTTTTTTCTCGATTCTCGTTTATGAAAAACTTTTTCCATTTAAAACTAAATTCATTCAAAGTTTTTTTTCTATTCATACAAATACCAAAGTTACTTACCTAAGATTAGAGCGATCTGCAAATGCTTTACCACAATGAGCACATCCAAATGGTTTTTCTCCAGTGTGTGAACGCATATGACCCTACGAAGAAATGTAGTGAAAAGAATCAAAACAAAAAAAAATTTCAAATTATGAATATCAAATTGTTGCTGTTATATATTCAATTAAAGTGATATAAATCAATTTGACAATTTGATTACTTGTAATAGCCATGGACGTGAGAAAGCTTTTCCACATTCTTCACATTTATGATTAAGATTATGAGTTAGCTAGATTTTTGTGAATGATGAATGAATGAAAAAAAAAAAAAAAAAATTATTATTATTATTATTTATATGATATGTTGATTAATTGATTTGAATTCAAGCAAGTTTATTATGACATTTATTATTATTAACATACCACATGCATAGCCAATGCTGGCATGCTAACATAAACTTTATGACAAGTTGGGCACTTTTTAGCCAATTGTGAATCTGGACTACGATGTGTTTGCTTATGTCTTGATAGATTCGATGATGTTGCATAATGTTTTCCACATTCAGTACATGAATATCGTTGCCTTTCTTTTGGATCAATACTTCCAGCACTACTATCACTAATAATTCCATTACCATGGCCAGCATTTCCTCCTCCTACACTATTACCAGCACTATTACCATTACTACCATTATTGATGCCATTAATATTACGTTTTCTTGATCGACCATCACTAATAAAGAATGCATCATACGTATAGCTAATTGTAATGTTCTTTTTTCCGTGTTTTTTATGCGTTTTGATTAATGTTACATCATTTGAATTATTCGATTCAGAATTAGTTGCATGATGATCCGTACCATCATCATGATCATCGGATGAAGAATTATAGCCAGTTGATTCAGTATTCTCAGTCAATGATGTTATTGTTGTATTATCTTCGCTAGCCGTATGATAGCCGGAATTATTATAATCATTTGATGATTTATAAAGGCTACTACTACTATAGCCATTACTATTATGACTAATACTATTATTACTGCTTCTTGTACGTTTATTACTTAGATCCAATAATTGTTTATGATTATTCTGCGATTGTTTTCCATGTACAATCACACCATTCGATGTTGATGTTGTTGTCGATGATGATGATGATGAATCTTTTAATTTATTTGATGTTTCCACTATCTTTGTTGTCGTATTGGCTGAATGATCAACATTTGTACCATAATCTGATAATGATTGAAACCAATTCATAATTAGAACAGAAACAAAAAAAAAAAACAAAACAAAAAAAATAATGAAAAAAAAATGATTAACTACTATTATCACTTTCAACAAACAAAACAAAACATGACATTATCATCTTTTTTTTCACTCGACTACATAGTTTGACAGTAAATATGAAAAACAAAACAAAACACAAAGTCAGGAATCACATGAAAAAAACGAAAATTTTTTTGGCAAAAAAATGACCAAATAGCGTGACATGACATTAGATTTTTTGTTTTATTTTTTTGGTTTCATTGGTTGAATCTCCAAAAAAAAATATGATGCTTATTATTTGTCTACGGTCACATAAAATGATTTATCTAATCAAAATTTGTGATCATTTCGTGTCATTTGAATCGAATTATTTCTATTTTGATTTTTTTTTAAGAACGAAAAAAAATGAAATGAAAAGACAATGCTCCTATACATTGATTATGAAAAATTAGATTACAATGTACAAGATTTTCATATATAAATCATTGATAAATTCATTTTTATTTTTTGTCGTGAGTGCAAAAAAAAAAAAAAAAAAATAGCTTTGTTTGTTTTTTCACAAAAATTACTCATTCCATACTTTTTGTCTGGTCAAACTTTTGAAAAAAAAAATTTTTTTTTTTTAAACATGAAAAAGGGCATCAGTCACCATCGATATTAACCAACCAACTGTATACAAATATATTTATAAAATACAAAAACAACAAAATTCAAATCGAACGACAATAAACCAATTAACATTATTGAGACACAGTAGATAGACCACCAAACGGGCTGAAGACAATGATGACGAAAAAGACGAAGACTAAATCAAATCAAAGCATTAAAGCTTAATGAATAATTCATTTTCAGAAAAAAAAGGACCCGACCAACAAAACGATCCATATATATTTATCTATCGGTTCAGTGTTTATATTCACTTCAACCATATACAATAATAAAACATTCACATTGAAATTTGGATCAACTTTTTCTATTCTATATTCCTTCTGTCTCAGTCTCAATCTATCGTTTGTTTGCTTCAAATTATATGAGTCAACATAATATAGAACCAGAAGCAATAGTGCCATCATCATCATCCATGCTATACCACCACTTGTGATTAATCATCATGGATTCTAGTCATACCAACCAGCCAAAAAAAAAAAATTCTATTTTATTTCCAAGAATTCTTTTCTTCTTGTTGTTGTTGTTTTTTTCTGTTTCCAACGTTGTTATATGTATAACATTATTGCATCGTTTACTTCATAACATTACTTAGATACTCATATATTCGCATCAATTCATTAATATATTGGATCAAATTGTCAAACAATAAGAATCTTTTCATATGATCGAACCTGATTATAATGATGATGAGATCTCAATTGATTTACAATGATATCATCATCATCATCATTATTATTATTATTGTTATCATATAAACTAGTCGCAAAAAATGAATAAAAAGTAAAAGTTATAAGATTCCTTTCAAATTATCTTTGAATTCGAAACAACAACAACAACAACAACAAAAACCAGAAGAATCTAGTTACATTTTTTTTCATATAGTCAGAAAAAAAACCATCAACAAAATCAGAATGAAATTTTGCGATTTTTTTGCTCGTTTGATCAAATCGAATATTATGTCAAACAATCATGAAATCAATGCCATCAAACATTGATAATGATACACACCCACACACATACATTCAACAGTCTTTGATTTTCAAATTTTCTTTTCCTGAAAAAAAATCATCATCGTCATTCTCAATTTTCCATTCACATTTAATGACAATTTTCATTCATTTTTATCGCGAAAGAATCATTCGGTTTCATATTATTTTACATTCATTCGTTTTTTTTTTTGCTTACATTTTATCTCATTTCAAATCATATCTTATTGTCATCTCGAATTACTCATCCATTCAAAATATATTTCATTCAGAAATTGAATCTTTCGATATCTTTTTTTTTGCAATCGAAATATGTTATAGTGATTCGTCTTCCATTCATAATAATAATCTGTATTCTGTTATTTTCAGTGATGAAAAAAAAGTAAACGAATTATCAACATTGAGCATAATTGAACAATTGATAATTATCATACCGGCTGGATAATTTATATTTTCACTTAATTCAATTATATGCAACTTGGCAATTTTCTTCCAAAAAATAATAACGAATTCACATAAATATATAATGAATAAAAGTTGATGGACGAAAACAAAAAAAGTTTCAACTTTTGATTATTATAATTTGAAAATTTGAAAATATTAATATGAATGAATGAAGAATTTATCATAAACAGGAAAAAAAACTTGCCATTCATATAGTATATAACAACTTTCTAATAAAAAATAAAAAAGTTTTATAAAATCGAACGGATGATGAAATCGAGATCTCTCTCTCTACACATACACTCAACAAACAACATGCAAGTTTCAACTCATGTAATATTGTATTCGAAAAATAGATGATTCAGATAAATGATTTTCACAAAAAACGTTGATTGAATGGAAAAAAATTAAAATACAAAAAAAAACACTTACTTAATGAATATCGATGAACAGATTTATGATAGGTATTTGCGTTATTAAAACCAATAACGGAAACGGTAGCCGGTGCACAATCACCTTCTGTTGGACTTGATGGGGGTTGTTGTTGGCCATCACCACCACCACTACTGCCCGTGTTGCTTATACTACGGCCACCAATATGATGATGATGATGTAATTTAACAAATTGTTGACCATAATTGGTCGTTGCTTTTTTCACTAAAAATGATCTTGGCATGATGATGGTTTTTTTTTTCAATTCAGGTTGAGAGTATGTTTTTTTCAAATAATTTAAAATCGGAAATTGCCACGCAAATGAGATAGGTGCATTCAAAAAAAAAAAAAAAAAAATCGAAATGAATCGAATCCTGAGAATGATGATGATGATGATGATGTGCAGCAAAAAAATCAAAATTGTATGATGATTTCCAAAGAAAAAATAATGCCTGGAATAAAAGAAATGGAATAAAAAAAAAATTCAGTTATCAGAAATTGTTATCTAAATTTTGATTTTGTTTTATCACTTAAAAATCAAATGGCTATTTTGGATTAGCTGTTGCTTCCAAAAAAAAAATGCCTGTATCACGTGCTTGTATGTGTGCGTTGATGCAACAAAAATTATATCGAATTTGTTGATTTGAACTGTTGCTTCTTTTTTTTTTTTTTACACAAAATAAAACAACTCGGTTTTTGCCTTTCACCGATCAGGTCGCTAGTGTAGGCAACAGGAAAATTTTTTTTTTTATTTTTGACATTTCAGTTTATACAATGTTCAAATCGATTATTTGGTTATTTTCAACGTATAAACATCTTTTGTGTGTGTGTGTGTATGTGTTGGGCCCGAATACAACAAAAATAAAACAAACAAAACGAGGTTCAAAAAAAAAAAAAAAAAAAATTCCGAAAACAACATTTTTTCTTCTTAGTGATATTTTCTTATTATCAATATAATGACCTATTTTTATTCATCTCAAGATCATCATCATCATCATCATCAAAAAAAAAAAACAAAATCAATATAAGAAAATGTTCGACAAGTGAAATGACAAAAAAAAATCGAAAAATTTCATTACAACAGCAAATTTCATTACCATCATCATCAGCAAACGAAGAAAAACAAAAAAAAAAAAAACAAAATTGCAATTTAAACTTGAAGCAAACAAACAGCAAGGAAAGAAAAATAACTAAAGATTCCAAACAAATTGCCTCAAATTTTTACCATCATCATTTTATTTTTATTTATTATTTATTGTTATACGTACTATTAACAACAACTATATATACAAAAAGTATAAATCCTTTGTTAGACTTTTTCCATATAATTCATATCGCGAATCATCATCATTATTATTATTTTATTCCGTTTATATTTATTATTATTCGATAAAATGTGATCAAACAAAATCATTCGGTATCAAATGCATCATCATCATCATCATTTATTCTTACATTGAACTGTTTTTATCACATTTGGAACTTTTAGTTTTAGTCAACTGAAGTGAAAACAGTTTACACAATAGTGTGTGTGTGTGTGTGTGTGTTTACCCAAGCACCAAACACACACACATATATATCATAAGAATCATCGATCTACGTGTCTAGACTCTTTTTTTTCCTTTCTTTTCATTTTGGTTTCAGAAAACGTACGCATACACACACACAACCGAATGTGATCAGTCAACAGAATTCTCGAATCCAGAATGAACCAAAAAAAAAAAACGTAAGAAATATTAAATGATTGCCAATGATGCTTTTTTTTGCTACAAAGTATTAAACTGGGCATATATAATCTCTGTCTCTAGTGATGCACACAATGAGTAGACAAAAGAATAACAACAACAACAACAAAAAGAGAAAAGAATTATTCAATTGTCATTCGTATTGGCCATATTCTGTTGTGACATAGAAAGTATTTTGTTTTTGATATACTTGCATCGAATGAGTTTTGTCAATGATAATGATGATGATGATGATGAAACATTCAATCAGAACAAAGAGCCAAATTGGCAATTTTTTTTTGTTGCCCGGGCTCATTCAAACTAATGACTGATTTTATCATCCAAAATCATATGAATCTAATTTTGTCCCTTTGCAATACAAGAAGGAAATGAAAACAGCAAAATTAATTTGGACTGATTTTTCTGTTTTATTTATAAATTCTAGTTTGTTCGTTTGTTTTTTTTTTTGGTTTGAAAATCAAATACAAAATGTCAAAAAATGTCTAGTCTCATTATTAATCCAATACAAAGTTGTTATAATGATGATGAGAATGAAAATAAAAATGCAGCTTGTTGTTGTTCACCATTTTTTAATGATTATTGTTATTGGCCACAAGTTAGCCATGTCTGTCTGTCTTGATTTTTGTTGTTGTTGTTGTTATTTGTATAGAATATTCTATATAATCCTCTGATAATATTTGATAGCAAGCCAATGATGAGCCAACACTACGACCACTACCATCATAATTGGCTGCTATATATAACGGTGTTTGTGTGTATGAGAGATTCTGGCCGATTTCAATTTTGAAAATTCCATAAGAGATAGATAGAATCCAATATACACAATTCATTTTTTTTTTGGTTTCTGCCCATCTATAAACTGTTGTTCTTGTTTCAAACACCTTTTCATCTTGTTTCCATCATACACACAAATACATCAAATTCTGTAATTTCACAACCATCATTATTAATATTGAATTTCCGTTTTCTTTCATTCTGGTCTAAAATAAAATTCATTTCCGCATTTTAAGATCATTGATATTTTTAATTATAGACCATTTTTTCCACATAACATTGTATACAGTTATTGTAAAAATTAATTATCAATTCAATTCATTTCCTATACAGTGATTTATTGATTAATGATGATGATGATCATTGTTATCCAAATCACCAAAAATTTTTTTTCTCTCATAAGATATGACTGGAAAAATGACATTTGAAACAATAACAACCATTAAACCAAAAACAATCGTTAGCAGAAAGATAGTACCACTGTATGTTTTCTGGTGTGTTTTTTTTTTTTTGTTTTCGTTGAAATGTCGAACGATCATTCATCGAATTATGAAATTAATTCTCATCGTTCAATACATCTACGACTATATTCTCTTTTGGAAATAAAAAAACAAACAGAGACGTCGCTGTATAGCTTAATTTATGCTAGCAGGTAGCCTATTGCTTTCCGTTTCCTGATGTTTGTTTTTTTTCTGGTTCATATATATATATATATATATATATATATGATGATGATGATATGTACATACATTTATTTATTGATAGAATCGGATTTCAACATACATTTCAAATTGACAAGAAAAAAAACACACACACATATATATATAATGTTGGGCGTCTTGAAATTATCATTTCCATTGCATACAAATACAACATATATCCAGCCTCTAAAAATACCATTCAGAAAAAAAAGGCAAACTTGTTGATGGATAGCAGGCAAGTCAAGTGTGTGTGTGTGTGTGTGTGTGTGTATGCCAACCAGAACAAACTTTTCTAATACGAATGTATGTATGTGTGTGTGTGTGGCCATGGAAACATGGAAACAGCCCAATTCAACAGAAAAAAAATACTTCTTTTCTTCACAATATATTTATATATTCTCCTTTATAATAATAATGATAATATACGACGCTATAATAGCAACTTGTGTACAAAATTTTTTTGGATCTATTTTTTTTTTCACTGTAAAAGTTTTTAGGAGGATCCTTCAACCAGTGAAAATGAAAAACATTCATTCATTCATTCATTCGTTTGGTATTTTTTTTTTTTTTTTTTGATTATATCCTCTATACATTATTAAAAGAAAAACATCACATGCTTTTCTTCATTCTATCTATGCTATACTTTTTACACAAATGTTTGGTGTGTGTGTGTTTGTATTAGCTTTTTAGATAAAACACATCATCATATTATACGAGAATAGAAATGAACGAACCGATTTTTATACTCACCGATTGCTTTGTTGTTGTTGTTGTTTTTTTTCAAGTGAAGAATAGTGAAAAAAAAAATTCTATGAATAAAATATTGAAATTACTTGATGTTGGAAGGCATTCGATTTTTTTTTCTCTCTCTCTCTCTCTGTGTATGTGTTGTTTGTTATTTTGCAAATAATCTTGTAATGAATATGTGGCTAATGTAAAACAAACAAACAAGCAAGCAAAAAAAAAAAAAAATTAATATTAACAGAATCGATGAAATTAGGAAGACTTTTGACTAGATTCTTGAATATATTTTTATTTAATGAAATGAATAAATACTACTATAGTGCGAAAATAGATTATTTTTTTGATTATTAAATCTGTGAATGGATTAAAAAATGATGATGATGATGATGATTACGAATGAGACTGTTGAATATCACTAATATTTGTATGAGTGTGTGTTTGTGTGTTTTTGTATTCAAGTGTAGAGATTAGATTCAATGACTAGATAAAATGATGATGATGATGATGATGATCACAAATAATAATTTAATTTCCAATGAATGATTGTTGATTAAATGAATGAAATTCTGCTGCTGCTGCTGCTGCTGCTTCTATAAAAAGTGAGGTGAGAATGAGAAAGAGAGAAAGGACGTAAATAAAGAATCTGATAAGATGAGCAAATAAAAACATTCATCAGTTGAATTGAGAAATATATGATTTTTTTTTTCATTATCATTCGAACAAGTAGAAAATATTCATTTTTTTCTTCATGTTTAAAGGCTAAAAAAAATCCACTTTAAAAAAGAAACAGAAAAAACAATCAACAAACACACACACACTTTCATATAACGTTTTAATCGTGCGCGCGTTCACTTCTGTAGACAGAATCGTTCTGGATCGTCGATATCCAACAACGAATGCATTGCATACTAAAAACCACTCTGCCTGCCACAAGTTGAGCTTTTCAACCAAATCACAAAAAAAAAGAAAGAGAAACAAAAAAATTAAAGGGAAAATGGTCGAGAATCATTCATTCAGACTAGAATTTTTCGGTTTGCACATTGAATTTTGGTCGATGGCGACGATGATACTGACGATGATGGTGGTTGTAGTGGTGGTGGTAATTGTGATTACTGATGGTTCTTATGGAACAAACGCACACACACACACACACATTTCAGCTGTATGGAATGTACGTATCGAATGAATGAATAAATGTTGCTAGATGGACCATACCCGAATAACGAAGAATAACGGGTCTTTTTTTGGGTAACATACACACACACACACATCACATATACGCACGCACAACCACCACACGAACGATCCAACAACAAACGGATTTTCGGGCCTTGTATGGCATACAGTTTCAAAAACACACGTTGCCAACAGTTAGCCAAAAATTTTTTTTTTATTGGGTTTCAATATGGAGACACGGGTTGAAACATACATGTCAAAATCAAGC